TAATGCCTGAGCAGTAGGATTTTGTGATATTACTGAAGTAATGCAAATCGTATAATATTTCTTAAAACCCTTGGTATCCATCTAATTTGCATTTCATTCATGTTTGTGTAGACATTTTGCATACTTACTCTGTGCCTAGTAGCAAATATTTTAAATTCAAGCAATACTTACCGGTCTGTGTCTAGAGAAATGATACACAGTTTCCCGTATTCTTTGTAGCAAGGCCCACAAGAAAAAAAGCCTCCATCAAGAAATTTAATACATTTATTAACATCTTAATCGTCTCTTTCAAAGTGCTTTCAGAGGAGGCAAATAGAAATTATTTACCAAATTCTATGTATGTTCAGGAGTCATCTATCTAGAATGAAACACAGAGAAGGAAAACTGTGAAATCACTGTATTTTGCTGCACCCAGGAGACTGGGGGTTACCACTGCTGCTTAGCACAAGATTAGAACATGCATTAGGGGGAGTTCTGCAGTACCATGGCTAATCACAGTGGCACTGAAATGGTTCCCAAATGGCTGGTGTTCTGGAAATTGCTTAAGATGATCCTTCATCTGCACTACCGCCTTATTTCTTAGGCAGGCTAAGCAGTCAAGGTGGAGAGCTTGTGGGGTTATGCTGCAATCCTGAGTGAACTGCTTCTAACAGGTAAGTTGGCTCTTTCAGACCTGGTTTAGATGTCTCAGCCTTGGGTCTACTCAGACCACATACACATAAAGGTTTAATTCTGGCGGGAGACATAGGCATCACTCAAAACCATACCAACAAACTGCCTGTCAACAGGAGAGCTGCAAGATAGTAAATGATATAAAGTGTAATAATGTGGACCACAAAATTATACTATTAGTCCTCAGTTTTTATTAAGTTTCACAATATAGCCTAACCTATTATTTACATTAAATTTTAATCACAATTCTCTCTCTTCACCTTTTTATTACTGTAAACATAATTCAAATCTGATTTCCTTTTATGACAAGGTAACCTACCTTGTTGATCAAGAGAAGTCAGTTGTTATAATCTTTTTAGTTTTCAACAAAGCTTTTGATACTCTCACAGGATCCTTCTCGACAAAATGTGCAGCCCAGAGCTGGATAAACACATCCTATGATGGGTGAGCAGCTGGCTCATGGGTCAGGCACAAAGGATTACAGTGATTGGGGTGACATCAGGCTGGTGATCTGTCACTAGTGGGGTTCCATGGGCTCCATCTTCAGCTCTGAGCTCTCTTCAACATCTTCAGAAATTACTTGGACACTGAGCAAGTTCACAGATGATAAAAAACTGTGAGGAGCTGTTGACTCTCTCTAACGCAGAGAGGATTCTATACCTGGGAAGGAGGCAACCCTGGATGTATGGACAAACTGGGGAATGATTGTCCTGCTCTGCTCTGCACTGGGGCAGCCCCACTCCAGTGCTGGGGGCAGCTCTGGGGGCCACAGTGTAAGAGAGGCATGAAACCATTAGAGAGTGTCCAAAGGAGGGCCATAAGGGTGGTCAAATATCTGGAGGGGAAGCTGTGTGAGAAGTTACTGAAGTCACTTGGTCAGTTCAGCCTGGAGGAAACTGAGGGGAGACCTCACTGCAGTTACAGCTTCCTCATAAGGGGAAGCAAAGGGGCAGACACTGATCTCTGCTCTGTGGTGTCCACTGACAGAACCTGAAGCAATGGCCAAAGATCAGTCAGGGGAAATTTTAATGTTGGGAAAAGGTTCTTCACGGGAAGGTTGGTTGAGCACTGGAACAAGCTTCCCAGGGAAGTGGTCACAGCACCATGTCTACCAGAATTCAAGAAGCATTTGGTGATTCTGTGATTCTGTAGTCTATTTACAGTATAAATTTTGCATGTTAGTACTTTTTAAACACAAGATGATGTCTCTGTCTTTGTATTTAACCATAAGCAGAGGCAAAGAAGAGGAAGATAAAATAGTGAGAGTCCTAATCTAGGAAAGTACAAAAAAATTAATTTAGCTTCAGTGGTTTGGTTTTATATCCAGGATTAATGGATATGTGCCACGAATTGTTCTCTGTTTGTGCCATCTTTCATACATTAAAATGGGGATAAACTGTTTTCCTCTCTCACAAGATGAATCCATTCCTATTCAAGGGAATGCGAGATATCATTGTGATGAATGCCATGAGAAACTAATAATTCTGGGTGAAGCATAACCTTGGGAAGATTTGCACTAAATGAAGGAGTGGCCAGAAACTGAACGAGCAGAGCTGAACAACTGCCCTTTCTATTAGTTCTCATCCAGCCCAGTAAATGAGGCGGGGATCCTGTGGAAAAAAATACTGAGCCATCATGTAATTATAGACTGCACACGCAGTTAGCAATGAATCCACACAAGGAATCAGAGCAGAAGCTGTGCAAATACAAGCACATCTATTGATGCTCCTAGCACTTGAGTTCTTTTCACTACATGCAAAAGCTTTTCCATGCAGGATGGTCTGGGGCTGCTATACAGAAATCATAAATGTACCCTTTTATGTGTCCATTGGTTTTCTCAGAATTTGCCTTATATATACATAAAGTATACTCACACACAACAGATGCACACATTCCTATGCACACATGTCCTTAAAATAGTGTCTGCTGTAATGTAAGGAGTATTCTAATTCACACAGAGAATCTACATTCCACCCCTGAATTTCCATGATCTTACTAAAGTACTGATCTTTGCAGTGGAGAATGGGTTATGCAAAGGGATCACACATAGAAGAAATTTTGTTGCAGCTGTGTGAAGGGTAGCCAGGGGATCTGCAATTATGTGGATCGAGAATATAAACCTCTTACACAGGAATGTGCAGGAGATCAGCTGCATTCCTTCAGTCCAGAGCCTGCGGTAACAGCAGAGAAATGTTATAAAGCTACTGAAATAGAGAAGTCTTTTTTGCCCTCCCAGTATTGGTTTTGCTTAGCCTGTTTACTGGGACAGCACAGAGGTACAACACAGATGGAAACCAGCTCTGTTTACCCTAACTAGGATGTTCATGCTGAAACCTAATTTTTATGTCAATATTTTGATGTTTTCACTGCTGACTGTTTTAGCAGGCAAAGCCAAATAGTGCAGAATTATAGACCGAATTCGGAGGTGGAAAAATATCAAGGGAACAGCTTTCCTTTTCTTTCTTTATGTCTTTTAAAAGATACTAGAATAAATTACAGGTGAGAAACCCTTAGAATATAGACTGCATAAGCATAGATTTTCCTGTCTGGATGATTTTCTGCTTACATATAACTTTCTGGGTAGCAATTACTAACAAATGCCACGTTGCATTTGTGCAGCCTTTGCAACAATAAAAAGTTGATTTTCACTTTGTTAGCTGCTCAGTGATAATTTTCAGAAGTTACTGTTCAGCTACTGTTGTTCTATTTTGACAGAAGACAGTGTACCCACATTTCTTGCTAGAATAATAGTTTATTCAGAAGAAATACTTTTATTCATAAGGAAAAAAAAAGCATCCAGCATTGGTAAAAGTTAAGATAAAATGACAGTAATTTTTCAATGGGTAATACATTAAAAATTAATTTTAACGCCCTGCAGCAATCACATTATATTTGATTTGAACAACCAATGCATAGAGTTTTAGCTGTAAGTATATTTATTTCTTTTCATTATTTTATGTATCATATGACTAATTGCCTACACACATTAACACTTAGAACATGGAGAAACAATGTAGTTGTTTAGTTGCCTGCATGCCCACTCAGTTCTTTGGCAAATCACTAATTTAATGCAGACAGCCTCTTGAATGCCACTGAAAAATAAATAATCCATTAGCAGTGACAGTCAGATAGTCAGACATATTCATTGAACTTAATATGCATGGTCATGTTTTATATTCGAGTGCTGCTGCCAATGTTTATACATAAAGTCGGTACTTGATGCCTGGATGCTGGTTGAATAGCAAATAGATAAGAGAAATAGCAAATAGAAAGAGAAAGTCAAGTTTTCACTAAGTTTTCACTACACTAATAGTGATTCTACATACAGTAAAAGATAGCTTATAGGCTACTATATCTTAATTTTATGTTTGATATCCCCACTGCATTATGCCTCCATTGAGATTTACTGTATTTTGAAGCAGCAATAAAAGACACTTTTATAAGATGGAATCTTAGCTCCACTGAAGGTAAGAACAAAAGTCACTGACTTAACAGAGCGAAATTTTCTAATGTTTATAAGCTAAACTTTCTGTGTTGCATAATGTACCTGGCTTCCCTTCAAGATTATAGGAGACTCTATCATCAAAAGGAGCTGCTTACACTGATCCAGCCACATTGGTTGTTATAGGGTTTTTGATTAACTTGCACTATAGCAAAAGCAACAGATGTTCCATTTTTTTGCACATGCTCACCCTCTTTATTGGGAGCTTAGCATAAATGTCTTTTGATTTCCAGTGATATGCAAGGGTAAAGTGATATTTACTTTTATGACTTACTTGTTGACTTTGCTTTTATTTGCAACTTGGTGGTTCAGACAACAACATCAAAAATGAAATTTAGGAATTAATCTTATTTCTACTATGGATAAGCATGGAAATATTTGATTTCTGTAGTACTTCGAAAAAAAGGGCATTATCAAACTAGAGTAACAAATATACCTAGTGATATATTATACCTATAACTAGAGTGGTAAATATATTTAGTCTAGAAGTAATTTCCAAAAACTTTATCATCAGTTTATAGCTTACAATACCTATATTATCATAGTGACAACTTATCCTCAAACTAAACAGAAATTAAATCTTAACCTAAATGTTCTAACTATATATACTCTAAAGCAGACTTCAGATAAATTTTAGAGAATGATATTCTATCATTAGGACAACACTGAAAAAGAGACTTTTGCAATAATGGAACACGGCTGCATATGTCAGTGTAGCGAACACTATTGCAGTTGGAATGGCAGGTCAGTGATGTATTGCCTTCTCTGATGACCACTTTTGGTTTCTTCTTTTCACAACAGGATGTTATCACCATTTTTTTTTTTTCAGAATACTGTCCTACCCAGAGTGGCTGTCTTTGGTGTTTAATAGATGAAAGCCAAAGTAAAACCAGGGATTGTTGTCCTCGGGACCTTTCACAGATGTGAACTGCCCTCTTTGGGAATAGATAGTGAAAAAAGTGTTTCTACATGGACTGTCAAAAATGTGGAAAGGAAGTGACAAATTACAACCCTAACTTTAGCTCATATTCCCTGAATTTTAGATGCTTAGATAAATGGGAATAAAAATTTGTACAAAGCATTGGAGAACAAAAGGCTGAAATCCCAAGAAAAGATTAATTGTACATTTAAAAGAGCAACCAATCAACTTGCAGTCAGTATTCATGACTCTTCTTGCTTCCAGAAGTGGGATTCCAAACTAGAGTTCGATCTTCAATGAAGCTGTAATTTCAATATAATTCAGCATCACTTTCATTATCATAGATGCAATCTGAAATAGAAATAAAATGAAAAACTATGAATATTGTGTAGTACTTCAACACAAAGATAAAGTTATTTATTGAATTGTATTAAATAATATATTGAATTTATATTCAATTAGTAATTGAATATAAATGTAGTATTATTCCAAGTGTTCAACATACCGTCACCAATATCGTCATAAATCTCTCCATCACTGCAAGTTAAAAAAGACAAATAATATATTTAAAAGTTGAGACATCAGAAATTTATTTAAAAATACAGTAGCAGTATGGTGCAGGCAATCTATCAAATAATTAACTTGCTGATTAGGAAAATGCAATATTTATGGTAACAGAACAATGTTGAGCAAGATGGTTAGGTCAAAGTATTTTCAGGGAAGGGTAGACTTGGATACATTTCTTTCTAACTTAAAAAGGTTGCTTTATTAAAAGTCAGGTTTATTTATTACATTTTTATGTAGATATTATCATAGAGTTATTTCCATAAATAAATTAAATACTTCATTTTTTTAAGAAAATGGTCACGAGAAAAATGGAATTTAAAAATCCAATCAGTATGCCCTTGAAATTATTTTTGTTTCTGTACTCAGCAATTACATAATCGTTTTGGAGGTGCTACTTATTAGGTAATGAATTTAGATAATGTCTACAAAAGATACCTGCTTCATGAATAGGAATTTTCAAATATGTGACTTAGATACATGGACAGGCCCATGGAAGACAGTAAGACTGTTTATTTATATAATTCAAACATGTGTGTAAGTGTTAAATGCTTCTAAACTGTAAAAGGGACAATTCTAAAAGTGATATCTGATTTGATATTTAAGGGTCTAATATAAAAAGCTTCTTGAAGGAAATGGAGAGGCTGTGTCTGACAAGAGTTTGGGATTAGGACCAAAATGCTGAGCTCCATGCAATTTCTTTGAGCAACACTGAGCCAAATCTCTATCCCATTGAGACTGAAGTATAAACAAACCTAAAGTAAATTTGGTCCATTTTAGTTAAATATTTGAAAAATGCATCAATACACCTAATTATATTAACTTGCTATTCAGTAATAGAGTCTAGTACCAATAATACTTAATTTATGTGATTTTTCTTGGCTTAACCACCAGAGTTTATGGTTAAGCAACAAGGAATGAAACTCTGGTAAACTTCTGCATGGATGTCTATGATTAATATTTGACAAATCCTAACTCCTTAAAAACAAGCCAATTTGCAAGTTTAGAATGACAGACTAAAATAATAGTATTTCACTTTTTTTTACCAGACCATTTGGAACAAAATCAAGTGTTACAACAAAATTTTCCAAATAATCACTTTATACTTACTTCTGAACCAAATTGCTTCTCAGAACATAGCCATCTGTAAAGTGAAATATAGATATATTTAAGTTAAATTTAAATACTTGTTATTACCTCTGTTGTTAGCACTAAGGAAATGCAGTTTTTCTCTTTTATATACTTCAGACAGATATCTATTCATAATATATAGAAAACAATGTACAATGGACCTCTAGTTGATGAAGATGTTGCTGCGTGCAATGTTTTGCTTATTCTTATTTGCCTACTTAAATAGTAATAGAGGTTATGCAAGATTAAGTTTTCATCTTGTATTTCAGTTTCCTGATTGCATGAGAAGGGTATGAAACAACAATTATTAAAAAACTATAGTTCAATTCAGAAACTATAGCACAAAAATGCAGTATAATAATAATAACATAATAATACTTGCAGTAATATTAAGTAACAGAAATATTTAGAGTTTCATACAGGGACAAAAATGTATTTCAGGATGTGTACAACAATTAAATATCTTTACCTGCAACTGTTTAAAATTTTAACTGTAACATTAACAAGACCAATAATGGATGTAATAATGGAAATACCTTAGAAAGGTTACTGATTATAATTCTATTACTCTGGTGCATTACTCATGAAATCAGATAAAACTACACATTTCTTTTAATGGATAGAATTTCTTTAAAAAAACCCTTTCTGACTTTGGTGAAAGACATCTACTGAAATACTTGTCAATTGATATAATGAATACAAAAAAAAGAGAGCGCCATAACAGTAATTACATGTTTGCAGGTAAACACTAGTAAACTTGTACAAAATTAGGAGAATTCTAAAGAATAAATATGATCGTGTCTTGTATTTCAAATTACTATGCAAATTTTCTTCTTTTAATCGTTAGGAGTGTCTATTCAGGATATCTTAGCTCAGTTGTCTTTTCTCAGTTTTTATTTTCTGGAATAAAGACATGGAATTGATTTTTTCAATTTTATTTTTTTAAAGACACTGTCTTTTCAAAATTCTTTTTAGGGCAGTCTAATAATTTCCATGATTCTTGAAGTCTCACGGAAATAATTTAAAATTGTTTGGCCAATCTAAATTTCTCTGCTTGTTCATATAATTTTCTCAAGTGAAATACATGAAAGCAAAGTTTCTTTGCTCATAGTCATGGCATACAAACACAGTGTTCTTCGAAGTCATGTGCATGTGATAGTGCTTCTATCATTGCAAAGTATTATCTAGGTTTTTCTGATGATTTCTAGCCCTTAAATATGTGGGAGATACAAGCCCTGCTGGTCTCATACTCTTTCACATTTACTAATCTAAAGGTACACGTCCAAAGTTTCAGTTTCTAAACATTTTATTAGTTTTTAGGGTGCTTCCAAATAAGGAAGAAGCTATCAGGTCAACACACTCTATGTTGGTAACTTAACAGCCACTGAAAGCTATAACATATCGTGCCAGCTGCCCCCTGACAATGTAAAGGAAGCACAAAGAGGTCAAAATTTAACCATTGGGCCACTGAAGTCCATTTATGTCCTACTGACTAAACAAAATCTACAAACCTGAATTGAAAGCTTTTGTGAATTTCAAAATGTTTGTGTTCAGACCAAGAAGGAATTTGAGATGGCAGATGAAAATCAGTTCCTTGTTTCACTTTTGACATTGCAAATAATTTCATACCATTTAAAATAAGCCATAGCAGAATATCCTAAGATTCCTAAGATCATCAGCCCTTGCATAAGAAGGTGAAAACACAATGAAATATAATTTGAGGTTTTGTTGAACTGTTGGTAGAGGCTTGAAACTATGGAAGTGTTTCATAAGTTAATGATTAAATCAAAGAATTCATATGCAAGAAAATAACAAAACCACCTTTAGTTGTGGCTTTTCAGTCTACCTGGCCTTCAGAAGGTAAAATTATAGCTTTAAGATTTGAGGAACTAGGACAACTGGAGAAAATAAACAAAACTGTCATGTACTTAACTAAAGTAGGATTCAAACTTCACTAACTAATGTGTAAATTGATTGGGATCTATTCAGAGGTTTTCAGGGATTTTTTTGTTTTGCTCTTTTATGCATAGCAAAGCAGTTGCTCCTGTCATTATCTGAAAGGCTTTGAAGACTATGAGAGGAAAACAGCCAGCGTGAACTACTTTCTACTTTGTTATTAGCTTGGTTCAAAAAATGTGGCTTTGAAAGCTGTTTTTTTTTGGGAAGTGGCTCTTCTAGTTCAATCCATATTTTGAAAAACATATGTGTTGTTATGCAAGAAATTCTTCCTCACCCTGCAGGCCTGCCAGGAAGAAGGCTGTACTCCAGAATGTAACACAGGAATACAGGAGGGAAAAAGTAAAAGGAAGGTGGCTGAAGCTTCTTCAGAGATTTATAGCATTGGACTGTCTTCTAAATAGGTCAGAGGTGAAAAGGAAAGGTGAGCAGGAGAATGCTGCTACTTTGAAAGTGGGCTGTTCCAGAACAAAGTGAATTTTCACTAGGAGATTTGGAAAGTGTTGTAACAGAAGCTCATTAAGAAATTGAAACCATCAGGAGATGGTTTCGGACTTCTCCAAAAATTCAAAACTTTCTGCCAGTGCAAACCCTGGCCAAGGATTTCAAAGAAGCACTGAAAGACCTCGTGCAGCTCCCAGAACAAGCAGACATGCCAGCTAGGACATATGCCTTGGATTAGCTGGGAGCTGGGGATAAGACTCCTAAGCAATGTTCCCCCCAGACTGTTGAAAAGACTAAACCACATCTCTTGCAATCCAAAGTAAGAATATTGTTAATGGTTTTCTCTTGGCTGCAATCAATGGGCTAGTGCTATCCAGAGGTGCAGCAAGGATTTTACTTTTACTAGGCTCAGTGGGCTATCATAGCTACACTCCTTTTGGCAAAGGGGGAGAGACAGAAGCAACAAAAACATATGCTAATCCTAGCTGCAAAGAAAAACTTTACCAAAAAATTGGTCCTTTTTTATAATACTTAGTATATCTTGTCCATTGGAAGTGTTTTGGATTTTTTTAAGGCAAGCCAGTGTTAAAACACAGTAATAAGGAAACAACAATCTGCCTCTTGTCAACCACCTGGCAAGCTAAACCTCGGTAAACCAGGGAAGACTCAACCATACTCTGACAGTTTGATATGTACTACAGTTTTTTAACATAACTTACATTTTCCTTCTTTGTTCCTGCAGAGGACCTTGGTATCATCTGTGCTTTCAATAATGTCAAGAGATTCCCCCGGTTTGATTTGTAAGTCTTTATATCCCCATCTTTTCTGAGACACATCCTGGACTGTGGTTGTAGAGTAAAGAACTTTTATTTCACCATCAAACTGAAAAGAAGAAAAAAAATCCCCAAAACCTGGTTAAAACCCATTAATGTTTTTTCCGTTAATATTCTCATTTATTACTAAGTTTCTGGAAATCAACAAATATTTGTATATGCTACTATTTTATGTGCCCATACTTGCCATTTGGAATTTGAGATGCTCAGATCACTATTTTTACATGTAGTAATACTTTTCCTTTCAAAAGCAAGTTATGGGGAGCAAATTATAAGACATCATACAGGTACTTTGTTTTTATATTTTATGTGAAGAAAACATTTTGAACAAAACTTACCTTAAACTTTTTTCTGAACTCTTTCTCCTCTTTTTCCATCTTGAGTTTTTGTGCATCTTTTTCTTCTGACTTAAGTTTTCCAAAGCTTCCTGATTTTGATGAACTAACCAAGAGGTTACAGATAAAACAAAATTAGCAACACATCAGAGGCATTGGCATGCATTCTGATAATTTTGGTGAAAATGCATTTGCCTTATATGTCTATCACATTTTTGTTGCTCTGAAAAACTAATACTGAGAATACAACAGATTTGATCCCAAATAAATTTTAAAAGTTGGGGCTGTCTTTCCTACTTCTCTTTGTATGTGTATATCTATCACATAAGTGAATATCAAAAATGAATTTTAAGTTTCTATCTGCTAAAACACTTTAGAATCATTCTGTAAGGAGCAGTTCTTGTGAAGGCTGTGCATCTCTGGGCAATAAGCTGAAAGACATGTCACACTGTCGGGGCAGCTGGAATATTGTAGCCTTGTGTGTGCTAGTCCTATGTGCCTGTAGACTTTCCTACACAAGGGAATCTATGTTCCATGATCTGTTTTAAGTTCTGTGGTTTTTTGCACATCCCTGATAGCACATCCCTGATAGCACTGACTTTGGCCAAAGAGCATGGAAGGGTTTCAGCACCTAACTGCCCTTTCTGATGATGCACCTGGGAATGTAAAGTCTGACTCTACTTTTTGATCCTTGCTGATCTCAGCAGGATGACAGTTTCATTGATGATGAATGTACGTGTGTGTGTGTGACCTACTCCAGATTTATATATATTTTATTTATATTTTATTTTATATTTTATTTTATATTTTATTTATATTTTCGTTTGGATACACAGCCCAAAGAGATCTCTCTCTTTTTATGTTTCCAGACTACTTTACTGTAGTGCACTGTCACTCCACCTGAGTGGAGTAAGCGACAACAGGATGTGACATGTCACAGTCATCCTCACAGACACAACTGTCACCATAACATTGTGCTCCAGAGATGACCATAATTTTCTGGTTCAGGATAAAAATTTTTCAAGCTGAATTTACACTTCCAAATATGTTTCATACTTTAAGCACTGCCTTCTTTCCTCTTAAAATACTGCAGCAGCTGAAGTAAAGTATCTATCCTAATAGTCCCCAAATTTTGATAAAAAATAACTACAATCTATAATTAAGCTCCTTTAGGCCATGCGTAATTTTCTGTCTCTTTTCCATCAGGGACGGAATATGTTGGAATGCAAAGCATGCTTACTTATTCTATAGTCTAATTATTACTTCAGTGTGTAACAAAGAGCATTTAACTGCCATTAGCAGCAGTAGGATTCCGAGAGCTAAAAACCTGACAACACCAAATAAAACAGATATTAGTAGCAATTTGCCTTTAATATATACTTTTAAAATGTATCTCAGTGCATTAGATTTCTGATCATGGAAGTAATATTTCACTTGCCTGGGATCAGATGGTGGAGGAGGGAAATCTGAAGAATCTACATCATCATAAACATTGTCTCCATAATCTGAAACAATAGTGTTCAAAAGAATGAAACATTATTATGTGAAAACTGAGAAGTGAATACATTGTGTTACAATGTATGGTATCTTAGCTAAATTGAGAAGAAATTATGGCAAGTACTGTAGCCATTTACTGTCTATGATAACTCTGGGTACTGTATTGCACAAACCTTTTCAGATTAAGATTATCAATAATAAGAGATATTCACTGAAATTCTAATCTTCTGAAGCTAAAGCAAGTTCTAGCATATGAGATAGCCTTTCATTTTAATTCTATTCCTACTTTATTGCTTTTTTGAGTGTACTTTTTTGAGCTTGATCTTAATGCACATTCAATAACTTCTATAGCATCCTGGTGAATTCAACATTCCTTAGAAGTGGATATGAATCATACGTATGTCTGTTTTTAGGCCATCTCGCAATGCCAAAGCAGTGAAGAGAATTCTTAGCCCAAGAATGCTTTTTCAATCACATTCAGCATATTTGTAGAGGGGAAGCAATTGTTCGACTCATCAAATGGCCAGCACCAATGGCCAGCAAAATCAGCAGGATATAGGAGGTCTAGAACTCAGTTCCAGAAGTAGACTCAAAAATTCTAAGAACTTTCTTTTTATTCCACAACTGAGCTGATGCTTATATGTTCCTTTACAGAGACACTGCAAGTGATAAAAATAGAAAAAATAATTTCTCTTTACTTCTGAGATCTTTTACTAAGTGCTTCTTTCCAGATGTATCTGTTAAAATTTAAACCAAATAAAACGGACTAGTGTAAATCTCAGGTAGAAAAATCACATTAAATAGATTAAATTGTTTACCAGAGATCTTGCAATGTATATGTATCTCCTTGTCTGCAGCTGGATCAGTCAAAATATTTGAAATTTGTTTACTGGAACTGGGTAAGCAATAGGAAGTCCTGTTTCCTTCCTTGGATGTATTTTTGTGACTAGCATGATACAGAGCAACGTACAGAAAAAGAATCAGGAATCAATATGGAGACTGAACAATAGGCTATTAATTACCTTTTCCAGACTGCTTTGCTGAAGAAGACGTGCTGGGGGAAAAAAAAAAGCTCATTAAGTATTTATATCACATTAATAGCCTTTTTTGTATCCTAAATAGTTTTAAAAACTTGCAACATGTGGGCTCCAAGTAATCTCCAGACATTTTGAAATGCCACTGATACCAGCAATACTTAGTGAATAAATATATTTTTATCACTGAATTAAAGTAAACTGGTTTAGAACCAAATGACTGAAGAATGTGGCAAAACAACCACCTGCTGATTTGTTTGCTAGATAAGATGGATAGAAGACAATCTTCGCATTTTTCTGTTTGGCATGTTATTTCCAAAATTTTGATTAACAGGCCTAGATTTACCAGTTTATCTCAGCTACATTGTACTGGTGAGAAAAGTAAATTTTAACTGCGTATGCAGCAAATTCACATGACCAGTGGCACAAAGATGGTAGATTATTCTGGTGCTTTTCACTAAAAAAAGAATTCAGCATATGTTGATTACCAGAGTTTTGCAACAAATACAGCTTGTTAAGAGAATAGTTATGCAGGTGTAAAGAAAGCTCAGTGTTTTCGCAGAAAAGTGTCCTCCTGAGCTGCAATTTGATGCATGATTCATTAGGCTGCTGTGAGGACATGTTAGTAGCATGTGATCAATGCTTTATTAGAATTAGTTAATGTGCACTTTGATTTCCTGGCAGACTCTTACAACAAATTTTCATTTTCTTCTGCCTCATTGACTTTGGCTGTTTTTTCTCGTACACTTTTCTTTTTGCCATCTTTGACCTTTAGCCTCTTCAAGATTCCCCAGGGCCAGATACCATTCTTATCTTCATCCTGCGATACAGACCTTTGGAGTATGCATGTGATTATCACAATGTAAAATGTAATGTTCTTCTTAAAAGGCCCAGTTAAATTCTCCATTGATGCACATAATTATCATTAATTCCCGAAGAAAAAGTAGCTTACCCAAATGCTAACATGCTAAACTAGAAATATGTATATTAGGCCATTTGTAGCTACTAAGATGTATTTGTAGTATAGATATTAATCTAGTGGCTTACTGTTTTCATGTTGTTACTCAGCAACCTGACATTTTAGTTTGTTATTTTCATTTCAGACTTATTCTGTCTAGTTAGAGATTGGGAGATTTTTGTGATTGCAGACTTCTTTTGCTGACATATCAAAATTACAGAATGAAACTTCTTCAAAAGACTGAAGAACCCTTTTCTCTAGCTTCACATATCCATTTGATGTATACCCACTTGCTGATCATCCTAATACCTGCTAATTGTTACGCTTCATTCAAAACCATTAAAAACTGAAAACATTCTGTCAAATAAGCAAATTATTTAAAATATATAAAAACATACCTAGCTGTAGCATCTTCATCATCGATTCCATCATAAATGTCTTGATCAGAAGGAGGAGGTGGGAACACGTCTTTAATAGATCAAATAGTGAATTAGTGCAGTTATATTTCCTATTGCTGAATAAGGTATTCATTATAGGCTTCTTTACTGTATCTGATGTGTGTGCAGTTTATACAATATCCTTGCAAATTGAATATTTTTGTAAACCAGCCCAGACGCTTTATTAAAACAGAAATTTAGACTAATCCCCGTTTAGGATGCCATTCACAGCATTTAAATATGGAACTGTCAATCACAAGAGTATGGATACTGAAAACAAATGCTTCTACTGTATAGTCAATGAAATTCTAAATGGCTGATTTTGGCCCAGACCTTATGATGACTTTTAAATTTTCATGTGTGACTCAAGTGATGATTCAACATGTCAGACTAACACTCTCAGCAGCTGACATCTTGTTTTCATCCAAAGAAGTCAGAGACAAGAGCAAGGTAAGCTCCCCATTTTGGTCTCAGTTTTGACCTTTGTGCCCCACCTCCTTCAGTGCAGGGTTAGCTTGGTTTGCTTGTCCAAATCTACTGGTCAGAATAGGCACTGAAATCTGTACTCAGCTGGCAGAAGCTCCATTCAGTACTGTCAGGGGATGCTTCTGCCATGACCAGTATCTAAACTTGAAGCTGAGAAGATGAGCTGTGCTCTTGTGATTAACAGATAATGCTACATAAATATATATGCTAAGAAAGGGGAAACTGAGTTTAAATGTGTCAGCTTGACAGCATGAAGCTGCTGCAGTTGGGCCTCCAGTGTGCTACTGCAATTGAAGTCCACCCTAATTCTGTCAGCAAAATGAAACTCTAATTTATAGTAGTGCCAGTTATTTCAGAACTGGATTTCTCCTATACAAAACCTCTTGTTCATGTTGATATTTCTCCAGTTATCTGTGCTGTTTTGTGGGATGATTTGCCTTAAAAAGTTAAAGTTTGATCATCTGGCATACAGTATCTGAAGACAAAGGTTCTGTCTCACCCAAGTTCCCATAGGTAGTGGGGAAATTTAGTTGGCCACTACCCTTCCTTGTTTGTTGCCTGTTAGCTAACATTTAACTTGCTTATGGATAATTAGGTCATTATGTGGAAGCTGAAGAATTCAGAATGTGAGGGTAAGAAATACATAGAAACAACTCCCCCCTAAACACATAAGTAGAACTTACTTCCAGCTCCACCTTGGTCACCACTTTGACTGGAAAAGCAAACAAAAGACATTTTAGAGAAAAGCAGTAATCCTTCAGAAAAAGAAAACACCATGATCACGCGTCACTTGTGCAATTATTAATTCTAAAGCTTTTGGCCTTGGCAAAAATATTTAGACTGTATTTTATATTCCTGTTGATATCTTTAAATTCAAGTACAAAATATGCCTTTGGATCATAGGATAATTTGTGTGTAGGGGTTTCAGGACATTATGTAGTCAGACCTGATGAGAATAAAAAATATCTGACTGAGCACTAGAAAGCAGATCCAGACCCTTTAGATTCAATCCTTATGAGGTGATCTTGAAATGAAATGGTAAACAAGTTAATTTATTGCTCAACTAGCTTTTTTTGGGTATAAGTGTGTGTTTCTAACAATATGGAAGGATTCCATATTAGCCCAACATTCTAACAGTAGTTGAAAAAAGCCTGAGAGGTTCATAGTAGCTGAGATTATTTCCAGGTCAAAGCCTTACCTAAAATTATACATCAAACTAAGATATTTGTTAAACTCTTGTGCCAAGAAATACTGAAATACAACACCCCTAGTCATTTATTAATTTTGGAATATTAGCAATACTACTGATAATGAGATAATACTATTTAGTCAAGAGCTTTTTTTTGAATGGCATTCTTCCAGTGTTTTCAAAACATGTTGATATATGTCAGACCTTCCAACACATCATGTTCATGAACTGAACAGAGTGCTAGTAATCACTAGAGAAGAAAAAATGTCAAAATACAGTTTAAAGGATTTGATGAATCTAAGTCAATCATAAATCCATTGAAGTTCCTTGGAACACATTGCTAGTTTAGTATGCAACAGTGTAGGTGCGATTGTTTGCTTTTGAATGCAATATATTTTCTAAATTCTTTGCATTGAGGTGACTAATTGTAATGCTTGCCCTACTGAAAAGGATTGGCTAAAGATATCTCTGCAATGAAGTAACTAATGCTGAGATTACCTGAAACCTAGAGCAACTATCATGACTCTCATGGCTAGGTCATGATGCTATGAGACCAATATGCAGGGAGGAAAACTGATACTGAGCAACCTGGAAAAATATCAGACACAAAGCTATATTGGTTACATGAAAAGTGCCAGCCTGAAGGCAGACTTTTCCACATGCTGCTGCTGGAGCTCATGGGGATGTTCTAGCAGCCAGCCAGCTGCAATCCTTTTATTCCAGGCAGGCCTCTAAGCCATGGAGTTTTACCAGAAGCAGTAAAATCAGGTGTAATGGCTGAGTACTTCAAGATGGTTGCCCTACATATTGAAATCCTTTATATCCATATGCAGATCTCTTATCTCAATCCCAGGCTCTGTTTCTGCACATCAGGACATTTAGTGGAGAATGGTTTGTTGAATCACATGTAAGAAATAAAACTTTCCTGTGAGGTCTGGTAACATATCTACCACTGTCACGCTAGGTTATGTGATAGCCTTGACTCTTGTGACGGGACCACTAGGGTATTTCTGTGCCTGCAAGTCTGATCTGCTGCTGGATATGCCACTTCTCTAGCTGCAGATCTATTTGACATGGAAAAGATGACACAATGAAGTAGAGAATCTGCAATGTAGCACTGCACTGCAAATGCATAGAAACTGTTCCGTAGAGGAGAAGCTTATGATGAAGTCGAAAAAGTACAGCTCATACCCATCTCATGGAATTCGAGAGGCCTTGTTTTCAGGGTTAAATTCATCACCTGCACTCTTTTCTGAAGGGTTGCACTAGACATGATTCCAGAAGTCCCTTCTCATCAAAATGAAAGAGTTAGTAAGACTTAAAGATTCATGCAAAGGCATGAGGGTGATCAGGAATTCCCTGGTGCAGTGAGTGTTTCCATTGCTTTTTGAGTTTTCTGTTATTGCATCTTAAAAAAGGGAGCGTGTGACTCCGAAAGACAGCACAAGTACAGAGAGAGACAGGGAAGAAAATTGGACTTCTGCAGATTTGTAAGCCTGCATGGATTGCATTTTTTTCTCCTTTGGATTTCAACGAAGTACATCCTCTTCCAATAGTATAGGTTCCTCCTCAGTATGAGTGCTTACAGATAATGGATTCCAGTATTCATTTAAATTCAGACTGAATAGCTACATATAATAGTTACATACTTCTTATATAAATGGCTGTTTTGTGACAAGGGCTGGGTTTGTTGTAAAACTTCCCCTGTCCAGGCTGGCCCAGGTGAATCACTTGCTTCTTTTCATACATTACTTATACATACCTGCTAGTAGTGTTCTGCTCTCCAACATCATCATACATTTCTTGGTCACTCTCTGTATGTTTCATTGCAGCTCTAGTAGATGGTTTTTGCTTTCTTTTTAAAGAATCATAATCAATCTCCACCATGGTTGTTTTAACGTATCCATCTAAATAAACGAAACCATACAGTTTGAGGGCCATGATAAAGGGATGATTTTAACAAGAGGTTCAGAATCAGTGTTTGAAATGTTTTGTACAATTTTTGAAAACTTTCAAAGGAATGTCTAATTCCACACAGTCTCATCTATCGACACAAATACAAATACCAGATTTATCTCAGATCCCCCTGGTAAGCCTTCCTTAGCTGATGTTAAGTTCATCTTTATTTGCTTCTCAGCTACAGCAGAAAAATTTTCTGTGCAGGAATCATGGGGCAGACTCCTCTTCTCAGCTGGCTTTGGGACCACTTGTGGCAGGACATCTACCCCCCTCTCCTCTCTACCACAGGGAGCTGGTGCATAAAAACAAAAGGTTAAAAGGCTCAGCAAGATGGCACCTCTGGTGCCAAAAGTGCTCAGACCTCAGCTAAGAATCAACATCGTAGTCTGGAGAACTGATGTGGGAAGAGATAAAGGAAATATCTTGACTGAGAGACCCTGTTTTACAAAATGTAAAAGACAAATGAGTTATCACAGAGGCAGAAACCTTCTACACACACTCAGAAAATGGGGGAGATCTTCCCCAGAGTCTGGACATAGGTTGTGTGGTTACTTCCCTGGGACTGAGGGAAAAGGTCTTGATGTGTGCCCCGCCAACAACTGGATGGTAAGCTACATTGAATCATAAATTATATTATTTTTTGCTACCTGTAACATTAACAGATACCTTTAACTTTGTGCTATATACACCTATCAGGTTTTCGTCCTTATTCCTGTGTAGTATTAAGTCTTATAAGATTAAGTCTTATGTCTGTTAGTTTTATGTCTATTGAATAAATAATTCATTTTATAATAGATTGAATCAGCCATTATTAAGGAACTTGCAAACCAGAGAGGGTTTTGGGGTGCTAGCCACCTCAATAAAGTTACTGCCTGCTGCCAGAGACCTGGACAAAAGGGAATCTAGACTCCCACATCCATTTGTAACACCACTGCAGTCTTGTGGCATATTTTAGGGCAGTCCATGACATAAAGCTCCTGACAGGAGGATCATGTGCACTGATTTTTCTTCAGGTTGGCAGACACACTGTAGCTGCCTTGACCAGCGCAGTTGACCTGAGATGAGGAACTCTGTCTCTCTCAAGGGCAAATTTTGACAGGTATGCTGCCTGTACAGAGGAGTGCACAAGTGGACTTCTCCAAGGTGAAAAATGCTCATCCACTTCTTTGAAAATGGAAAATTCACCCCTCTCCTTCTTCTGTGTGAATGCAGATTTTAGTGTTTTCTCTCAAATGTAAAACATTGATCTTTCCTCTTACTTAAATGATAAGAACTGATTTTCCTCTTTGGTTTGGTCTTCTTCATAGACCTGGCCTGTGAACATAGGAGGCCGAAGCATTGGTGTAAAAAATTGGTCTGTATTATTGAAACTTTTCAATGAGAAGCCTTGTACAGGTTCAAGATTTGCTGATGGAAGAATTAATTAATGAAAAGTAAATTAATTAATGGACTGCATGTGTATTAGAAAATATGCTTCTCCCAGCCCTCACCAGAGTTTGGTTTTCTCTGTACAAAATGATCCATGTAATTGACTTATTTTCACAATTTCAAGGTATTGTGGAAAAGATATTATTGGAACTTGCCTCTTGAGATCATCTTGGCCAATCCCTCTAAGCAAACATGATCCTCCATTACAGCAACTTGGCCAGGACTGTGTCCAGTCACGCTTTGAATATCTCCACAGATGGAGACTCCACCACCTCTTTGAGCAACCTTTTCCCTTGCTTGGTCACCCTCACAGTGAAAAAAGTGTTTTCTGCTGTCTGAATAGAACCTGTGTGTTTCAGTATGTGCCTGCTGCCTCTTGCACTGTCACTGTGTTACTGGAACCTGGCTCCATTTTCTTTACATCCTCCCACCAAGTATTTATGAACAATTATACCATTTAGTATTCCTTTCAGCATGCTGAATAGTCCCAGCTTTCCCAGATTCTCTTTGTATGAGACACATTCAGTTCCTTACTATCTGTATATACCTATCACTTCAAATTGCTCAGCTGGTGTCATCTACAATTTTGTAGAACTCTGTTCTACATGTGTGAATTGTCTTACTAATTTTATTGTCATTTTGGTCCCCCTAAAGATCAAGCGAATGCTTTTAATAATTTGGTCTATATCATAAATAACCTTTTATAACCCAGGAGCCAGATCATCAACCTCTTTATATTCAAAGATGGATTTAGACAATAAGAGAAACATCTTGGATTTCAGAGAAAATAAGATCTAGAAACCAGTTAGAAACTTTCCATAGAAATAGGAACAAGAAAAACACTTAAAAAAGGCCCTTATATTCTCTAATTCTATTTTAACATTACCTGTGTTATGTTTAATGCAATGACATGAAAAAAAGGTTATACTTTTTACTTGCAGGGAGCTGTGTTCTGATGCTATTTGAAGACTGCTGACAGGGAATTAACCCTCAGCATACTAGTGAAGGTCCCAGCATACTGTGCCTAACTTATTCTAGTGCCTATAGGTGCTACATTAGGTAGTGCAGTAACTCCCTGCTATGAACTATGCCTTGTATGCCAGCTGAGGATGGAGGGGTGACTTGGGTAATTGTTTACTTTGGTGGCCAGTGACTCAGGTAGGGCTAGTCCTTGGTGTAATGCTGGCATGTTTGCTGTCATGCAGTGAAAACATTCAGGAGCATGGTGAAGAAACAGAACTCACAGCATCCTTTTATCCTGCCCAGCCACTTTCCTTCTGGGTTGTCTGTAAGGCGAATGATTTCAATCTTATCCCCCTGTTTGACAGTCAGTTCATTCCTCCCTCCTTTGTGGTCAATGCAAGCTCGTGCCTGATGAAGGACTTCAATGGGTCCTGTTAACTGAAGAAGAAACAGAAGATATCAAAGATGTGTAAAAATGGAGTTCTTTCCCAGTAATTCAGAAAAAAACCCAGTAAAAATAATGTTAATGATGGTTACTTGTTTCATTGGCAGTTAAAATGATGTGAACAAATAAACAGAAAGGCTTCCTCCTGCCCCAGTTACACAGTTTAAATTAAAAATCAGAGATTAAAAGAGAGGGGAATGACATGGCAATAGAGCGATTGAAGAACTGACTGGCAAAATCACAGAAATACTAAGATTAATACTAAAATTAAAAGACTAAGAATAAAAGATTAATACTAAGATTATGGACTAACCTATCTGTTCACAGAACAGATTTATTTAATTCCAATGTGTGTCTCCATTTATTTCTATCAGAACTACTCATGGAATCATAGAATCTTTTAGGTTGGAAAAGACCTCTAAAATCACTGAGCTCTACCACTAACACTGCCAAGTTCAATTAAACCATGTCCCTAAGCACCACATCTACACATGTTTTAAATACCTCCAGAGATAGTGATTCTACCAGTTCACTGGGCACCTCTTCCAGTCCTTTACAACCCTTTCCATGAAGAAATTTTTCCTGGCATCTAAATTAAACATCCCATTTCCTCTTTTTCTATCCCTTGTTACTTGGGAGAAGAGGCTGAACCCCACCTGGCTACAGCTCCCTGTCAGGCAGTTATAGACTGTGATAAGGTCCTCCCTGAACCACCTTTTCTCCAGGCTAAACACCCCCAGTTCCCTCAGCTGCTCCTCACAGGACTTATGCTCCAGACCCTCCCCCAGCTCGATTTCCTTTCTCTGGACTCACTCCAGCCCATCTGTGTCTTTCTTGTACTGAGGGGCCCAAAACTGGACTTCCCATCTCAAATGGGATTTGGGATGTGGCCTCACCGATGCCAAGTACAGGGCAATCAGACCATCCCTGATCCTGCTGGCCACACTATTCCTGACACAAATCATATGAGTAAATATTCATTAACATTAATGTTAAGGAGTCTGCTTTGTGTTTACAGTTCTACTCTATAAATGATCTTGCAAGTACTCACAAGAGATGATCACGCTGTTTACTGATGTTCAGGATTCACTTTGTGAGGTTTTTATGTTATGAAGAAGCCATTTTGGGATTTAGTATTTGTGACTTTAGGATCTTTATTTCAGAGGCATATTGCTCTTGCCAAATATAGACTAAATCAGGAATATCTATCCTGTATAAGTGGCCAATAAATGGGAAAGAAAATGTACAGTAAAATGTATTTGTTTAAGAATAATAAAATATCTTAATGGCTGCAAGTGCAAAGTCTGTAAGTTAAAGGGTTTCTGTGCACTAATGCCTACACTTCTCGTGAGTGGTCTAAAAAATAGACTTGGTGCCTAATAAACACCAGCTAACTCACTATTATTAACTATGTATATCTTTAATATTTACTTCTTAACTCATGTCAGGCTCTCCACAGCAGATCAAGGCCATGATGTGAATCACTATGATTTTATCTGTACAGAGCATAATAGGAAGGAAAACAAAGCTGCCCCTCTGTACAGTGACACTGAAAGTAGCAGAATGGAGAATTGTGAATGGGCATTAGTTAAGAAGAACTGACTGTCAGACTTGTAAACTGTGATAGCACGCTGACCACCAGCGATGCAAACATTATTTAAAACAGAAAGAACTGTCTAATCATTTAGCGCCAAAGAATGACTGTAGCTCTCCTATACATGTCTTATTTTCCTCCTCCTCATTTATGCTGGAATTTACTGCAAGTCCCTTTCTACCAAGGCAAGGGCAATGTGTTGCAATACAATTTGAAATCTTTAAAGGGCTAAATACTTTTTTATCTGACTACAGTGAAACAAACAACACTATGTGTATGGGATTCAATTCCCACTTTTATTAAGGGCTTTTGATGCTATTCTAATGAAGTAAATTATTAGAATTATAAAAGTGGAAACATATGATTTTAAGGCTTTCTTACATAGAAAAAAGGTGAGAAATAATTTAATGAAAACTGTAATCACACAGTCTTTGCCATCCATCAGTGCAGAGTTTGCATTCAAACACAGGGAAAACAATAAAAAGGTAGCTTAAACCTTTATTCAGAATTTATGCAGGTGTTTGAACTACCTACCATAGCAAATAGTTTCCTAGCCAGCTGAAAAGTGTATTTTGAACTTGACAATGCTAAATAATGCACCTTGCATACCTTACCAAATTAAAAGCTTACTTTGAACTTTTTCTTCAGTTCATACTCTTTCTTTTCTTTCTCCTTTTGTTCTTTCTTCTCTTGGTCCATTCTTCTTTTATCTTCTTTGTCCTGCTTCTTGTCTTTTGCCCTTGATGATCTGAAAGTGCATTATCAGGACAGAAGTGTGAAGCAAATTTTCCTTAGAGCTACCTTACCCAAGGCTGACAAAAGGACTGCAGATGATGAAAAAAGACTTCTCCAAGTGAAATCAAAGCTACAGATTCTAAACTGTAATGAAGCTGCAATGGATAGAATAAGTAGCCCTTTACTACATATGTAAGTTAAAGTGTCTGTCCTCATGAGGACAACACACCAGAAAAGGTTATCTGCTCGACATGTGTGTGTCCAAATGTCTCTGAGCTAATTTTGTTGAGCATGCTTGTGAACTGGCAGCAGTCTAGGTGTTCTACTGGATGCAGCTGTTAAATATTTACCCAGCCACCAGTGGTTGATGCAGACTGACCTGAAGCCTGAGCTGCCACTAGACTGTGTTTTTAAACCTGACTGCAACCTATTCCAGCAGTTCACACAAATGAACCAGTCTTCTGCACTCATTTCTTCACATCAGGGTACACTGTTTGCTGTGTCTTGTGGACTGGAAGGTACGAGGGTCTGGGAGCTTGGGATGGAATTAAACCTGCATCTCCAGCTCTGCCATTTGGCTGGAAGACCTATGTTTTAGAAAACCTATGGAACTGATTGACTGAGCCTCCCTTATGTATTTTTTAAAATACTTTTACTAAACAGATAGGCTCAAATTGCTAAAAAAAAAGGTCTGAAATGAGGATCACTTGGGCTATAAATCAAAGGGAAATAATTTTTTGCTGAAAATTGTTATGCATCTGAAATATTCTACATTAATTACTCATTCAGAGGGAATTAGAGTTTTTCTTTGGTTATTATAATACAGTAAATCCCATAGATTTAGACATTACCGGGGCAGGAGAGTCATCAAAGGAAAAGTGTAAATGGATGAAGAATATCCATTCTTGTATTCTGTCAAGCAGAATACAAGAACTTGTATTCTGTCTCTGTAACTGTACTAGTTGACTCAGGCAATGCAAATTGTCAATCCAGCCTCTTATAGGAGTTCTAAGAACAGTTGTCTGAAAACCAATTAAAAAAACACAACAAAAGCTCTATCTGGGACCATAACACCTTGAATCTGAACTCATTTTTCCTCCTAGGCTGTAATTCCAACCAGTGGTTCAGACATACTTCTTAGATCAGAAATCAGAGCTGTTACCTCAGTCACAGTAATTACATTATTTAATTGCAGGAGTTTTGCCATGCCAGGGAATGGCAGATCTAACTGGGAAAGAACCCATGAACAGCCAGACTTTCTCCAGAGGAAATGAATGAAGACAGTAATCCCTGTCAGGGACTGCAGTGGAATAACACTTTTGTGTCAGAAGAAATACACCTATTAGAAAAGATAGTAATAAAGATACAATAGGTTATAGAGTTTAGAATTACTACCTGATGTCATTAATGTCTTCATACATCTCTCCATCACTTTCTTGGCCCTATAAAAAATAATCAATTTTCAATGGTCTAAGTACATTTGGAAAGACAGGAAGAAACTTGGCCTGCTATATAAGTTTCATACAAACTATATAAAAACATTTATACCAAAATGCAAATACCTTTATTCTTCCCAAAACAAGTTAGTCCATTATTCAAATGCACTATTCTATTATTTCTGCTAATTTTTTTCACAATATCACACCTATGAAGCTTTGGATTGTTAGAATCACATGAGCACATTGCTTAATCCAAAGTGGATGTTTTAATTGCAAAGTGTGTCCAGTAAAATCTTTATCACTGCTGATGATTGCACTGCCATATGATGGTGTCAAGGTTAGCCCTATTTAAACTGGAATTCTAAGGATCTAAATGGGACTCAGATTAGGGTCCAAGAGATTGTCTTAGTCCATATGTAGTCAGATGCTTAAACATACTGATAAAATCTGTTATTAACTGAAATATTAAATGAAATATTCTACTACTAAAATGGAACAGGGCCATTATTTCTATTATTTCTGGAAAATTCCAGTGAAATTAAATGTCAGTGTTAATAGAAGGTATAATATTGCATTTTCTTTTTTTAAATCAATTTTTGTGTCTACAAAGCAGCTTTGATAATTTGTTCCAGTTTACTCTGCTTCCCTGATATTATTTCTATCCTTCACAACATATAATTGCTTCTACAACTTACTGTGAATACACTGGATTAAATCTGCAAGTAATTGTCCAATGTATTGAAGAAGTTTTCTGAAATTTGTAAGTTTTTGCTGAAAAAGGATAGGTTTATGTCAACAGATAGTACTTACCCTCTGTGTATTTCCATGACCTACAGTAACAAAAAAATAAAAACAGGATATTTATTTTTTCTTGTAGAGAAAACAGTTATTCTAGCATTAACTATTTAAAACTGCCTATAACATCAGTGATATTAACTAGAAATATGTGCAGGCTCCTGTTTTTTGGTGAAAGTATGAATGTAAAATTCAGTTTTTCTAGATTGCTTTTGTAGAACACTGCAAACTAAAAATATCTACAAACAGCATATTTCACTATGTATTTTAAAGGTGAAAAATCTGTTTTCAAAATCTTTAATGATATTGATGAATTTACCTGTGCTATTTGCTTACAAAATCACTATTTATATGAAAAGTAATTGTCAAAAACCTAATAAATCCAAACAGACTTCAAAGAACTTGCTTGCACCAGCCCAACAGCTGAATAAGTAGGCCAAAGGCTCTTTTCCTAAGCCAGCAGAAGAAGATATTCTGTGAACCTCCTGCTTCCTCCTTCCTCTGCAGGCAGGTAAATAAGAAAAGCTCTGTTTCAGCTGCATAGCCTGCAGTGCTGTGAGTTGTGGATGGCTAGCACACTAAATGCACAGTGTGCCTGGCACAGACCAAGTGCCACCAAGGAGGGATCAGAAAGCAGATTGAAATTCCTTGTGTCACAATCTGCTTCTCTGCTGCTCCTGGTACAACTCACTGCCTCTCACTGCCTCAGACCACAATGCAACAGTAAAAACACAGTCAACCCATCTTATTTTTTTTTTTTTTAAATCAAGTATAGGACAGTGCCTCCTTCACCAGAACACACAAAGTCAACTCTGAAAGAGCAGCATTCATGCATTCATTTTGGTTCAGGTTTGAAAATCTGGTGATTTATGGTCCTAGCATATTTCTAAGCAAACAAAAAAAAGAAAGAAAAAGAAAAAGAGAGCAGGGAGGGAGAAGAAAGAAATTTAAAGCAGTTTCTCAGAGTCTGTCATATTAATCATGAAACAGTAGATCCGTTAGTGTTATGAGACAACCATCTTCACCCATAAAGCTGCAGAACCAGTATAATTAGTTATACAAATCACTCTTGAATACCCTAAACTTTTGTTTATCTTGTAAATACAACGTGCTTACAGCTTCTCCCAGTAGCCAGTAATTAAAATGTATAAAACGTATGCATCTTACCCTGTGAAACAAATTCAACGTCATCATAATTTTCTTCATTTTCTAGGTTTCTGTAAGTATGAAAATGTAGACATGTGAAACGTATGAAGATGGTTTTATGATTACATTTTCCTTCACCATTTTTCTGGTGCTTTTTATTACCTATTTTATACAAAGGCTGAACAGTCTATTGAGCCCTATATCCAACTTAAGAGCACACAAGATTTTCTAACTTATTCTCCCTGACTGTGACTAGATGTTTCAGGTGGGGCCACCTTGATCCTGAGTAAAAAACATCAAAGTGTGCCAAAGGCACTCAGAATACTGTGAAGACGAGTGTTGTATGAAAAATACCATAGGCAGATGGCTTGACTGAATGAAAAAATCTGTTTGGCTTTTTAACCATTTTTGCAGGTGCAGGCTTCTTACACAGGGCAAAAGTACAATGTCAGACTTTTCTCAGTGCTAAATACAGCTCTGAGACTTTGACTTGTTGGGCTTAAAGTCTAAATAAGGGACAAGAGAAACAATGGAGTAAAGGTTAGGCCAGGTAAAACGTCACCGGTGCTCTTAGATTTAAAATGTTGTCCAAATGAGAAAAATAAGAAATTGAATTGAGAATATAATTAATAATATCAACTACTTTTAACTTTATAATGCCTTGTAACAGCAGAAACAAAACAAGGGCTGACAGTCATCATCAAAGAAATGTAATCAAAAAAAGGACTTGAAAGCAGAATGGGATGTTCTAAAACTGGCTAGATGGGGAAAGCATGGAGACAGGTGAAAGCAAATGTGTCAGCACCAGGCAAAAATTTTCAGCAGAGGGGATACTTTACAGGGCACACAGGAATGGGAGAGCAGACATCTGGAGGTACATTTCCGAGGTGTCTGGTGTCAAACTTGGCTCCCATGCCTTGGTAAAGAGGAGGGTACCCAGCACTGCTGCTGCAGCTGTGAGGCTGGACTGATGCTGCCACACAGCGCTGAGCTGGACACGCCTCCCTCCCTCTCCCTGCCTGCTGTTTGATGCTCTTTGCAGTGCCTGCTGGCCAGAGAGCAGCTCATTATTCAGGCTCAGCTTGATTCTGGTCAGTTTTGATGCTGGACTCAAGTACTTATAACTCTGTCAGCAGAAGTTCTGCTTCTGTACACTGCTCTTCAAAGAAGGATAAAGAAAGGAGCCTCATAGCAACAGGGGCTTCTCAGGGTTATCACCAAGGCCACGACATGGCCTTGGTGCACTTTCACAACCAGTGCTGAGCTCAATTCCTCCAGCTTGCAAAGCTGCTTCCTGGGGTATTAGCTCATAGACCTGACCCTTCTCGCCCTCTTTGCCCAGAAAAATTCAGGGAAAACTTTCAGCTATTGAAGCGACTGATTTTCTATCAGTGTTTAAAGTATTTGGATTGTTCTAGGGTTAAAAAAAGTCTGTTCCCTTCCCCCTACCCTCACCAACAAAAGCAAAAAAATTGTTGCTATAGACAAGACAATTCAGGGAAACAACTGAATAGATGGAGGGATGGAGGGTCCAAACTAATGAAAGTTAATTCTAAACAGGTTAGGTACAGGGCAGGATAAGAAAAGTAGTGTGACATACCCCTCTCAGAAAACTCGAACTCATGCAGCCCTTTGCCTGGAGGAGGAAAGTGATAGGTAGAGGAAGGTGAGAAAATAAAGACTTATGTTCACTCACATTGTTTCAGAGCTGGGCTTGATGTTTCTGGGAGGCAGACTGGGAGCTGCTGGCACCTGCAGGGATGGGTGAGAGGCTGGTGGAGGAGGTGGCAACTGCACAGCAGAATGAGATGTAGATATCGGTGGGGTAAGTGCTGTTGAGGAAGCTGCTTTCTGCTTCAAACCTTCTTTTGTAAGATCTGAAATAAAGCAGAACAGACTGAATTTATCAAGCAAACATTTGAGGAAGGAATTTTGCTGTGTTTGATGAAGTTTTGGGTAAGATATCAGTACTGCACACACCCAATAGAAAGTATGTTTTGTTGAACCCACTCTTAGATATTTTCGTTGCATTATCTTATCAGAATAGAGAGGAGACTGCATTTAAGAATGTTGTCCCTGTACAAGGTCTCAAAAATGTCTTTGCCAAGACATGAACAAGACAAAAAAAGCCACAGTTCATACAATACAATAACACCTGTGTTTTAAAACTAAATTATAATTTGATTCCACAATTTGCTTAAAAGACCAGCTGCAGAGTTTTATATGAGCACTGATGTAGTCTTGCTGAATTTTTCTTGCTCAGAGAAAGAGTTTTAAGGGAAGGGATAGACACGAAAATATATTTTGACCTTTATAAAGAGAGGTACAGGTCTCTGAACATGTTCAAATAGATTTTTAATGTAAGTTGTAAAAGTCTGGACTTCCTAGCAAGCTCTGACTAGAAAATTGGCAGTTTGTGTAACTGCACAGAAGCTACACCCTCAGCAGACAGGTGCAGCCTTAAAAACCAATGGTGCTGTGCACCAGGCATAGAAGCCACAATTACATGAGTGAGCTGGCGTGCAAGTATGCTGCACTGAATTTATGCTCCCTGCACAAGCCACAACCAAACCATAGCAACCATTGTTTTGAGGGTTGATTTTGAGAGAAATTTTTCTGCACAAGCAAATGAAGTCAGAGTTTGGATGCCGTGATGTTTTTGAAGTATCATTGTTTTTGGAATTATCATTAGTAGATTAAAATCTACTCAAAAGGAATTCTCCCCAGATGCATGGAGACAAATCCAGGAAAATCCAAGGAGAGGAAACAGAGGGAAAAAGCAAATTCAGAATTCTTTTAAAATCAATTACAGCTGAGAAGAAACCCCCTCTCTTCTGGAGATTTTATTTAAGTTCACACCTGTGAGAGATTGAAATCTTGTCAAGTAAAGGAAATGTTAGCCACACATAAAAACAAGACTCAAAACACAGAACAATGACAAATATTTACTAAAGTTTAATATTAAGATTGAAAATTGCAACAAGCTATTGGAAGAGCTTTTTAGTTTATTGGATGTCTGGAATTCTTTCCTTGTGATAGACAGGAAAGGGGTAATTGATAACTTTAGGATGGACCTTTCCATATCTCACATGGAAACCAAAGTGAAATCATCAAGCCTTGATATTTTTTCTACTTACTACCACAGAACTCAAAAATTTATGGAAAAATATTTCTTCATGGATGCTTGGGCCAACTTTTAAACATACATATGAAAAATGGTGCATTTTAAACCTGTTAAGCTCTTCCATTACTTAAACAGCAAAATACTGATAGTCCCAAAATGGATGATTACACAGGTGAAATACTTTGTGGTTTGTGCATTAAAGAACAAGCATCTTACAAAAGAAGATCCTTACAACATAAGACTTGCCAAGATTAAATTTGTACCACTTATCTTTTTAACATTTTATTAAAAAATATAGCCCAAAAGTCAAGTGAAATAATCCTTTCTCTTAGTACTGAGGAGGTTACAGCAGAGTCAATATATGCCAGCTGGAGAGTAGCCAAAGGAGAATAGTGAGAATGAGATCTAGAAAACATGAATTCCTGAATATATTGAACAAATGGTCATTGTTTAGGGAACCGTGGTAAGACTGGGATAGAACAAAATTAATACCTAAGTCTCTGGTTGCGAAAAAAGGGATAATTTGTATTTGCCCCTTTTGTTTCCATAGTGAAGAGGCAAAAAGAAATACATTTAAAGGCCAGCAACATTTGTTAGGAGGAACTTCCTAACAGTGAAAATGGAATTTCCATGCCTTGAGGACCCTGTTGAAGAAGTAGGATAAATTTACGGCATGAGAAAGTTCTAGTACTGTTGTTCTTACCCTATACATTGGATGGACATCAACATAGTGACAAACTACTTCTTTATTTCCCTTTCGATTCAATGCTGACATCCTTTGATTGCTGTCCTGTGCGTCACATCACATTTGAAATATTTGCTGCTATATTGAGATCAACAGCTAGAGATATACTAAAGTAACATTTTGGCTAAAATGTGTCTAAGTTGTTTGAGGGGTGTTGACAAGAGAAAGAATACTACAAAGGTTTTGTAGTGGTACTTATTCGTTTAAGTTTGCTTACCGTTAAAATCTGCATCTTACTAAGCTCCTCAGGCTTCAAGTTCTATTACTTTTATTTTTACCTTAGCACCCAGAGTCAAAAGCCTTTTTATCACCACTGTTTTATACCCAAAAGATATTGACACCACTAGAATTAATACATAACTCAGATTTCTTTTCAGTGACTTTAAAGACTAAAAAGGGTTTTTTTGCTTGGTTGTTTGTTGTTTTGTGGGTTTTTTTTGTTTTGTTTTGTTTTGTTTTGTTTTGTTTCTGTTTTTTTGTTGTGGTTGGGTTTTTTTTGTTTCTTTTTGGGTTTTTTTCCCCATGTAGCAATTAATTCATAGCTATTTCTGTTATCTCTCTAACCTTTTCAACACTTAGACTATCTGGCACTGCAATTCTACAGAGCATGCACTTATCTGCCACATGTAGTGATGAAAATTGCAAGTCATTCTTCATCTGGCCATATCTGTACTGATTGCATCCGGAGGGTTTCAGTATTTTCTCCAATTGTCATCTCTCCTCCTGTTTTGGAAGTGCTGACTCCTGACTATTAAACTAATTCCCATGAGCAAAAAGCTTTCTTCAAAATCTTTGTGAAAATTCTTTAAGGGTAAAACTCCAAGAATTTAGAGTTGCAAGCTGATAACCTTTATGCATTATACTCTTCTGTCTCATCATAGTCCTTACCCAATTGTACAGCTGCTTATAACTTGATTTTTTTCCCTAAATCATCACACAACATTTTTTCACAGGTGTGGTTTACATTTCTTCATTACATATGTACAATTGCATTTGAATAAAAGCAAACTTTGCTTAAATGAGCCAAGGTTACACGATTGTGCTCTTATTGTACCTGAGTATCTCCAGACTATATCTTAGCATTTAATTCTTCACATTCTTTATTTATCCACAGACTACCAGCTATAATTTCTCATTGTCCTAAAACTTCTTATAAAGATGAATACTACTGACAACATGTATATCTCTATAACAGCTGAATTCTAGATTCTAATCAAAGAAAGCAACCAGAAAGGAGTCTCTTTTTTGGTTTGTTTGGTTGGGTTTGTTTTTTGTTTTGTTGTTTTGTTTTGTTTTCCTGAAAGCCATGTTAATTGGTATTAATGATATTCTCAAATTTATTTTTGTGTTTTAATAATGAATCTTATATCAGTTTTTCTGTGGTTATATCTTTGTTGCACAGAGTGTTGTGTATGTGCACACCATGCATACGAACCTTCTGTCATCATATTGTATTACTTGTGATAAGTTTCTAGGACTAAGGTAAAAATTCTTCCCAAGTCTCTGTGCATAATACTTCTTTCATCCGATGTCTCTTGAGAACCAAATCCAGGCAATAGGAAACTGAGCCCGGAAGGACACCACATGGATTTTAGATTGAGTGCTTATTTTTAAGTATAAAGGCTGAACAATCTGTCTCTTTAAATTTTTGTAATTTGTTATAATCTAACAGTAACTAAATGATCATCATGTTAATGGAAATACTTTTTTTTATTTTCTAACTGTTAGAACTGACTCTTCTCCACCTTTAGAGTTTAAAGTAGCTTAAATAGTTACACTTATGATAGAGATTCATGTAGGTATTACTTCTAATACTAGAAATAGTGGAATGATTTGGGTGGGAAAGTGACATGCTGAAAAGCTGTTTGGAAAAAAAGGTGTTATAATCAGGCCTGCTGAGCCAAAGTTATCATAACATTTCAATAGTGGGGTTTTTTCCCCCTATTTTAGTGGAGTATTTAATTTTTTACTCCTTTTTTTTTTTTTTCCTAACCTGGGACACTTGGTACTATAAAAACATGGAAAAGTTCTGTAAAGGTAGTGGAACAGCAGTCAGCTGCAGACACTCAGATCAAGAAATTAAACTGAAGCTGCATCCTGGCCTCACCTATATTTGAAGCACTCTGATCAGAGTAAATAGTGTTAGGGGTGGTCATAGTGTGGCAACTTTGACAGCTAACACTTCAGTTTCCAAATAGCCTCTCCTCTCTTCTTAGGACTCTTAGCTTTTTCACATGTTGTGCGGCACTGAATAAACCACAGGTAGAAACTGAAGCTCTTCAAAAAGAAACCAAAGAACAGAAGAAAAGGGACTGCAGCTGTATAGAGAAACCTGCCATAAAAACTATCCACAGAATATCCCAAATATTCTATTACACAGCTGCTTGAGGCATTAAACTTCTTTAATCATGCCCAGATCCTCAGCACTTACAGTACAACATGCACAGAACACTGCAAAAATCTATCTTGTGTTCTTGGAGAACCTTCTCAAACAGCTTCCATATGGGCAGTGGCCAAAAGGTCACTTACATTCTTGGGAATGTTTGTTTATTGGGAAGTGAAGGACACTGAAGTTGTCTTGATGCAATACTTGTGACTTTGACCCTTGCCATTCTTGGCTTGTGAAAGTGAAACAATGATACATCTTTCGTAGCCAGTATGACATCTAGAGAAAGATTGCATCTTCCCTTCATGTCCAGATATTCTGTGGTCAACATAAGAAATCAACCTGCATAAAAGAAAAAAATTTCCATGCCTTTCCCATGTGAACTCAAAGAGAAATTAGAAGTCCAGCTCTTTTGGAACTTGTGAATTCTATGTAGGCAAAAGCATTCAGGGCAGAATGAGAAAAAGCCATTCTCCCCCTACTAAACCTTCAGTGTTGTCCTGAGATACTTTATCTCTGTGTCCTGAGATGTTAATGCCATAAGTATGTGGCAAAATGAAGGGAAGTCCTAGCACTGCCCAAAGTCCATAATGGAGTACACCTGGAACTAGCATTACTTAGT